GTTAGGAGTGTTTGTTCCCCGGCTGGGAGACTTCATAAACCATGGTGTGGGGGCAACAATTTCAACTGGCCCGCTGGTTCCCCTCATGAGTTATTGAGAACGCAGCAGCCGGTCGCTGCTTCCTCTCGCGAATCATTGAGAACGTTTCAGCCGGCCCGCTGCTTCCTCTCACCAGTTATTGAGAGCGCAGCTCCACCCGTTTTGTACTGCGGAACATGCGCTTCAGGCGTGTTGTGCGTGTTAGATGCCGTAGCGTTGCAGTGGGGTGCGTGCATTGATTGCGTTGCGCAATTTTGTAACTTTTTCAACATCTTTATTGGGTGTTGCAGTGCCTTGCGAAAACAACGTAGGCATTTTAATGGCTCTGCGGTGCTCCATTTCACTGCAAATCGGTCTCGCAACACCCTGAAACTTTTGCAACAATTTTCGCACGTAATCACTCAAGAGGTTTAAGCTTCCTGAAGCGGTCCATGGCCAACCTTGAGCCCTCTTAGGTCTTCGTTGGGTTGTATTTGTGATATGCAGGCTTCTGTAACATTTGCAATAATTTTAAAAAGCTGTTTTTTCGGGTTAAGACAATCTTGAGAGCTCGCTGATGATGTTCACTTTCTTCTTTGAAATCGCCCTGGGACATTTAATGACAGTCGTGTCCAATCGTTCATCCAATGTAGCCGGCTGGCCAATTTTCTCTAGCCAATTCCTACTGAGACGCATAGGCAACTTCACCGCTCAGAAGTAGAGCTGGGGTTGAGATAAGGACGACATTCGGCATTCGACATTCGACGCATGAGATGAGGACGGCATAACGACATGCGGAGGAGTTTCGGTGATGGGCAGGGTGGGGTTTGGGCTCTTCCCTTGCTTAAATCGTCTGACATGAGTCGGGTTATGGCGTGCCCTGCGCAGGATGTCGCCCATCACTTCCGTCACGATGTCTAAGGCTTCAAGCATCGGCTGTTTGGAGCTGCAATTTTAATTTGGCCATCCTTGGCCTATGCTGAACTGCTATTGCTCCCACTGGTCCTTATGATTTACGTACTAGTTCACGTATTCGCTTTTCATTCTCACAATACCCTGCCTCCGTTACTCGTGTCCCTAATGAGCTTCGGCCCACAATTTCACCCTCTAATCCCTTCCAGAGGCACCCAAGGTTTGGTAGAGAACTTTCCCAAGCATTTCGCCAATGGGGGATATTAAGGACCTCAGTTGCAGGCCTCATTATCTTCCTCCCTTTCATTTACCTCAGGCTGTTTCACACGACGGGTTCCGGGTCATTTGGCAAAAGGGGCGGTAGCGCACAGTTAACACACGCCCGGGGCGACCGTTAGATGCCCTCCGCTCGGGTGGGAGGTCAATTTGATCTCTGAGGTCCAGAAATCCAAGGTTGCTAGAGACAATTAATTTACAGGGTGGGATGGCCTGTGTATAAACTCACTTGTGTCATATTTTAGGTTCCTAGGTCGTAATCTTGGGGTCGATATGGTCAAGCAAGGTCAAAATCCAAATTGGTGTCTCAAGCGCCCCCAGAGCTGCCCACGCAACCGCCGTGAAGCCAAATTCCTGTTCTGAGCAAGAGGCCAATGGTGTTTAATTCCATTCAGTACCCTTGCCTGAACTTCAAAAGGTCAAGGTGACAAACTACCCACGAGATTGCTCCTATTTTTCCCTTCATATAAGAGTCAGGGATTACTCTAGGCGGTATATCCCTGAAAACGAAATGTTGATCTGGGTCATTTTAGATCAGTAAGTTAATCTACCCTTTAAATAGTCATTGAAGGATGCTTTTTCGGTCCCTGTCATTAACATATTCCAAATAAACGCCAGAAACTATCCCATAAACCAAGCTCTCGGGTAAAAAACAGGATAGTTTCGACCTCGGTCTGACCTTCATAACTGACCCCCAATCAATGAAATTCGTTGGTATTTTGAAGTTAATTGCTTCATTGCATACGAAACTATCTCATATGTGTATAGATTCTTTTGAAACTCCGTTGTCGCATCACACTGAACGATTCCCTGGAGAAACCCTTTGCTGACAACTATGGCCTAACTTTGACCAACCACGGGTCGGCGACGTTACAAGTACATCTGATTTTTTTGCATAAAAACTACCATCTAATTTTCTACAGCTTTTCAAAGTTTAGCGCGGCTACACCACGATGTTCGGAAATCATTATAAGAAAGCGTCGGGAGGGGGGGGAGGGGGGGGGCGGTCACGCTGACCCCCACCCGAGTGCATGTTAAGACATCATTGTCATGAGCTGCTTCGTTGCTTAATTTCATTGCATCATTGCTCGTATGTCATTGCCCTCACCTGGCGTCCTCGCCCCCCCCCCCCCCCAGGAGGGCCAACTTTCCCAATGCCAACCGCCCGAGGATTTCATGACTTGTATCCTTATACTGACTTTGCCGAGCATGACATCTTTCGTAAGCGTCTTTGCGAGGGCTTTGTAACGACTTCGACGAGTCGAACATTCTATGAACTCTTATGGGGACCGTTGCTGTTCATGAGAGCCTCTTTGACTGGCTCCTCTTTGACTGGCTTCCCCTCTCCCACTGAGATCGGTCCTTCCAAGTGATCATCTCTGCTCTGAAGTACAAGATGTTCCGTCTCCTCTCCCCACGCACTTGGCAATGTCAGCAGCTGGTGTTCAGCGTCGAACAACCAAGCAGCTGTGGCGTCTTAAAACCCAAATCAACAACAGGCAATGTCGGCAGACATCCTGCACGTGGGAGTGCGGGCCGTGCACGTGGGAGTACGGCCGTGCACGTGGGAGTGCGGCCGTGCACGTGGGAGTGCGGCCGTGCACGTGGGAGTGCGGCCGTGCACGTGGGAGTACGGCCGTGCACGTGGGAGTGCGGCCGTGCACGTGGGAGTGCGGCCGTGCACGTGGGAGTGCGGCCGTGCACGTGGGAGTACGGCCGTGCACGTGGGAGTGCGGCCGTGCACGTGGGAGTGCGGCACGCCTGAACGTCTTGGCCTCACGCCGACCAGCGTTAGGTCATCGCCATCGTTTGCACCTTTCGGCTAATCTCCATCTCCCGGCAACATTGAGATAATACGTGATTGGTCCTGAAAATTTTGGAAATCCCCTAAATGCACACAATGCCCATTCTAAACGCTTTAATGATAGATTACTCACCTCGACATTCGGCTTTGTTTATACGTTACATCATTAGATCGAAACGCTACTTATTCCACATTCAAGCTGGTGGTCAGTTGCACAATATTAGAGCCAATATCATTATCGATATAAATTTATTATTTACTAATATAAATTACCCAATATTACTAATATAAAAGGTGGGGGTGGGGGGGGGGGGGGGGCATTTCGTGTACCTATCCATGATCATCGGGTTCTGCTCCACTGTAGCGAAGTCTCATCTGTCTGAGTTTGGCTCATTAATACCATAGATTTGTAGTTCGTGTGAAATATCAAAAGTCGGTTCAACCCTACGTAGCCTGCACAGCAGACTACATCAACATTTGGAAAGGTCTGGGCGTACAGGTAACATTCTTTTTAGCCCAGACCCTTCGCCCGTCCGAGAAGAGTTATGTACATGTGAGACTCGTTTTAACATTGAACGTTTTTCCGCATTAAGGCGGTGCAGGAATTCTCCAGATTTTAGGATTTTCTAATCACTTTATACATACCAAAAAAGCCACCATTGAACATCATGGAGTCTGCACATTCCCTGCAAATTATAAGGAATCATTTTTTCATTCTAAAATATCTTTCGTTGCGTGATTTTTTCAAGCTGACCTCTTTGCGCGCAGAAAAGCGTCGTGCTTGTGTTGAATTGGCTAACCATAACCATCCACTTTCTTGCCACGGGCGATGTGGCGGGTGATCTAACCTAGCGATGTCTACCTTGTTTCATTGTGTAAGAATGTGTCCTGATATATATATATATATATATATATATATATATATATATATATATATATATATTGAGTATCTTTGGATAGTTAGACGCGGCAAAAGCTTAACGGCAAGTACAGTAGTCATTTTCATTTATGTCAATCTGCCAACGATTCGATACCATTGAGTTTCGTCATCAGGATTGTGTCAAGATGTGTCCTGATGGTGATGCTCTTTCACATCGAAACGTTGGCGGATTGACATAAACGATAGTAACTGCTGTCCTGGTCATTACATTTCTAATTCCTACATATATATATATATATATATCCATATACACATGAAATAATTAGATCAATATAGCTGCATCAGTATGTATATATACATACATACATGGGCCCTTGGACTCAGTAATCTACTTAAGAGTAGCAATGGTCTCCTATGAGACTCTGGCATTTGAAATTGGAAAAAGCACATCGCATGAACGTTGCACCCCGCCAAGGCTGCCACGCGGTAGCTCACGTGATGTGGGTGTGGTGACCACCCGATCAAAATAAGTTCCGTGTTTCGAAAATGCCAGCATAAGTTGTAATTTGCAACTGCGATGGACGACTACGTTGTTATGACAAACCTACAACAAGCCTGCTTCACGGGCTCGCATTCAGAGCGACGGTGGCAGCTGAATCCTGCCGCGCGGTATCCCGATTGACGCTTCATCTTCATCTTCATCTGCCTTATGGCCCGGCTCGCTGTTGCCGGGTGGCATTGGCGTTGCGGAGCTGACGCTCCGTCCTCCGGCGCGGCCGCTGACCTCTGGTGTTTACTTTCCAGGCGTCCGGGCGCCCGACCGGTCCGGGCTGCAATCTGGTGGGGCCACCGAGGGGTCTGTACTGCCATCTGGTGGGCGCCACCGGCCGGTCAGGACTGCCATCTGGTGGGCGTCACCGGCCGGTCCGCACTGCCACCTGGTAGACGTCACCGGCTGACATGACGGCCGTGCGGACCGGCCGCTGGCAGAGGCTGGTGCTGCTGGTGTTGGCTGCTGCCGGCTGTTGGCTGCTGGTCTTCCTCACGTACCAGCAACAGACGTCGGACGCCCTGCGGCAGCAGCAGCCGGCGTCCCACTCAGAAGGCCTGTACAGGGGACAGCCAATCAGCCAGCTCTGGGCAGACAGTCCACCCGAGCAGGCTTGGTTCTCCGGCCCCCAGTGCCGCCACTTCATCACCAGGTTCGCCTGTGACGGTTCTATGGAGGCGGTTCGCCTGGCGTCCTTCCCGAGGTCGGGCAACACCTGGACCCGCTACCTGCTGGAGTCAGCCACCGGCCTCTTCACCAGCGCTGGAGGGCCAACGTACTTCCAGTATAGAAACGCCGCAGTGAGCCGCAATGCATCCATGAAGGGGAACACAGTGGAGAGCAACAGAGGTACGGAGCTTTCTCGCATGGGGTTCGCCGGCGATTTGTCCAGCTGGACCCGGGGCAACACAATCGTTTACAAGACTCATAGCCTGCCGGAGCCGTGGGTCGTCGCCGGCAACGAAAGGCTGCCTTCGGACACGGCTCCTTTCGCGCCCAACTCGACGAGGCGCGCCATTTTGCTCATCCGTGACCCGTTCAAAGCCTGCATTTCGCTGATGTACTTCAGCAGCTCCCAGTCTGTTCTGCACACGGACGGGGCCCGCGCGGAGCTGTTCCAGGGGCCCGAGTGGGAGCAGTCTGTGAGCTTCTACGCCCGACGCTGGTTCGCCGTCAACTTGCAGTGGCTGGAGGCCACCAACGCCACGCACGTTGTGATGTACGAGCACCTTGTGCGAGACCCCATGTACGAGCTGCGAAGGATGCTGCGGTTCCTGGAAGTGGAGCCCGATCCGGCCCGTATGGAGTGCGTGCGACTGCATTTGGAGGGACGAGCCCACAACAAGAAACACAGCGTCGTTCCCGACAACACCACGTACCCGCTGCCCCTGCGCGGCTTGGTATGGAGTCAAATTCACGCGCTGAACCTGCACTTGAAGGACAGGGGCTACCGTGAGCTTCCACTGGAACAGTACTCGTTCGCCGGTCAGTTTAGGGATATTGGAGCCTGAAAACGGAACTAGCTGGACGTGGATGTCCGCGCCAAATGCACAACCCTGCACGGACGGGGAGCACGTCCGTCAGATAGCTTTAAAAGCAGACGCCGAAGTTGCGCCGAAGTGGAAGGGCACTGCACTATAAATAATCCGCTTTCATCACTTAAGGTGAAAACAACGACTCAAAGCGTCAGTTTAAAGCAAGGACTCGCAATACAATTCGATGAACTTGATTATCTTCTCAGCAGGCGTGTGACATGCGCGTTGTGTGAGTGGGATGGGTGGGAAGATTGCCTCATGTTTTTTTTTGTCACATACGGCCTGTCCTGCGAGCACGCTGATTAAACAGGGTCAGATAATAGTCAACTGTCGTGGATTGGCCCCATTATGTGCAATACAATGCAATGTGTTTTTTTCGCTTTTACACGCATGTTTGGACCATCAACGGGTCCAGTCCGGTTCAGGCCCAGTGGCCCAGCATTACGGCATACTGGAGTGACTGGATTGAGGCTGCGCATACTGGCTTGCGCATTTCTGAAACCTGTACGGCGATTGTGATCTTTCAGATGTTTCACAGCATCGGACTGCATGGCAGCAATGACGCCAGGCACCGGTAGGTGACGTAGTGATCATGATGCTGCGCATTATGTCGATGTCAGTGGGTACTGATCTTACATTCATTGTACGCTGCCTTGGCATATCTGGTACTAAGCGTTTTGGCCTGGGACTTAGATGCATGCAATGCTGTACTTATAGGCTTTTCTAACACTGAGTTCACCACCGAGAGAAATAATTTACCCACGCAACATTAGGCCTGGCGAAAAAAGTAGCAGCAAGCCAAACCATTTCGAAATGGAAGTGACATCACAGCAAACTGATATCCTAAAGAAAGTATGACACCTTTTTGAACTTATCAGGAATTGTTAGAACAGACGCATCCGAACTGTCATCGGTATTACCAGTTTTCTCCAAACCCGCGAAAGCGCAGAAGTTCGATTTGAAGCAGACGCTCCCGCGGGAGGAATCCCGTTGGACTCCCTGCTCAGTGCTCATCACTACGGAAGTTCTGCCATTCATTTGCCTTGATTTCGCTAGCGCGAATGTTCTGCAACGTTGACAATATGCTATTTCATCAAAATGTCTGTGTAACAAATGTTACGAAAGCTTGAAACACTCTTTTTGGGAAAACAATATGCAAACATGAAGTTCTGACCACACGAAATCAATGAAGCGCGATATCATGACTTTGAAGTCTCGTCTTTGATTATTTCTATGGGCGCACGCCCGATGCTCCCTAAGCGCTCTCCCTTCTGACGGAGATCGATAGCAGCGGGTCGGTGGCGGCGGTCGCGCTCAAGGTCAGGTGACGTCAGAGGGGAGGGCGGACGGTGCTGCACGTTGCAACGTGTTAGCTTGCGCCGCAAAGTTCTGCTGTTGACCTAGGCTTTATCAGATGACGGCACACGCAGCAATGCCCATACAAAGCTAAACGTTGGGTCTATTCACAAAAATTCGTCCATCAAACAGTTTCGGATTACGTATTTTAAAAAGCTACTCACTCCTCTGAGTTGAATGCAATCTGGACAAAATGTGCAGTCGTCTGCTTCTCGGTAAAGGAATCGCACCCTGAAATGCCGCAGAGTAACCCCCAGAGAATCTCATTCTACACATCCAACAACAATCACAACACACACCCACATTGACCCTATTGACAAACGGAGCGACAAACGCGTCGCGCTCAAGAACCCGTCTCCTTTCAACACTGCCACCAACATCCTCACGACCTATGCATTACCACGCAGGACAATTTGATCGCGAAACGAACATATTACGCGGAGACATACGCCAAGAGATCAATGGATTAGAGAGTACGTTTTTTTCACAGGCTGAGCTCTAGCCTTTTCCGTCTTGATTTGTTGCATTTCTTGGTGAATGCGGAGCTAGGTGCTATTCGTCATCAATGTTTCATGAAGTAATATGCATGGCTGCTAAGCAAGGACGAAATAGAATAAGCAATCTACGTAGTTTTGAAACACCGGGCTGCCATGTCATAATCCGTCGATTACTGCAATCTAGATTGCCACACTCCACGTGGAAATATATTCGTCGTCGGCATATGGTAAATTTCAGTTCTCAGGACATCTTAAGACATCTAGGATCTTAACCGCGTTCTTCTAGCTGAGATTAATAATGTTGGTGTGAGGCTGTCTCTATGCAGCTACTTCACTCGATGAGCCAAAATTGCCTGGCCGTTTTCAAGCTTGGCGAATTATCCGCCAGTTCCAGCGGCCATTCTAACGTTTGTCACCAAAACGCACCGGTTATCAAACTAATTCGGTCGTCGTATACCAGCTCGCTTGCAATCTTTCCATGCTACTAGCCAACAACTTTGCTGATATTTTGTACGCTATGGAGAACTAGTTGACTGAGCTTAAATTTTCGACGATGCATTTGTCCGCTCCCTTTTGGGGACCAGCGTTGCAATGCTTACCGTAGATGAAGGTGACAAGACTTCACGACGAAGTACTAAGTGGACAGCAGACATGTACACAGCACCTGGTTCGTCCCAAGACGCCCTTAACTCTTCTCATTCGCCGAGACGATCCGAAGCAACAGTCAACGCGTTGTCACTCATTACTGGCAACCACCGTCTTGAGCTGAATCGCAGCCTGTGACGGTCAGTTTCAAAAAAGCCACACAAACATGGAGTGGTAAGAGGTCCTCGCTGTTACAAAGGCCTGCTGTCGACGCACGCCACCGCCCGGCGCGGCGCGTCCGCTGCTGCCCCCCGCCGCCTCCTCCCCCCCGGAGAAGTCGAGCGGTTTGGCCTGGCCGGGCCACCACTTCAAATAACGCGAAGCCAAAGCCGAAGCCAGGCGCCCGCATGGTTAAAGCCGAAGGAGAACCCGGGATCCGGCTTTGGTCACGTGTATTTCATCACATAATGAAATGAGCACAACAGGCCGTCCGAGCTTGAAAAACGAAACCCGCGCACGACAGGATGCTTGAATTCATGACGTGGCGAACTAACAGTCATTTCAGCACGAGGATACGGAACAATGACGGGCATTTTCGCCTCGTCACGCGACCAACGATGACTGCCAGTTGGCATGTCGGAGGGCACGCCTCGCGCATACCCCACGCAGGTCAAGCGCCTCCGATTTCACGGGGTATCCCGCTCGAAGGGTTCGGCGGCGACAGCGGAACGCAGCACGACAACGCACGCGACAAGGCATGCCCACGCGCTCGACACTGCACCAGCCCTGCAGCCTGTCGGCGGCGGACCGATGCCGCCGTCGCTCCTGCGGCCGCTGACAAAGACCGGACACGGGGCCATGCCGCCATCCCGTCAGCCGCCGTCGCTCCTGCGGCCGCTGACAAAGACCGGACACGGGGCCATGCCGCCATCCCGTCAGCCGCCGTCGCTCCAGCGGGCCGCTGACAAAGACCGGACAAGGGGACATGCCGCCATCCCGTCAGCCGCCGTCGCTCCTGCGGCCGCTGACAAAGACCGGACACGGGGCCATGCCGCCATCCCGTCAGCCGCCGTCGCTCCAGCGGCCGCTGACAAAGACCGGACAAGGGGACATGCCACCATCCCGTCAGTCAGCCACGCCCGGCAGGCCAGATGTAACGCACAGCGGGTGCTATGGACAGCTCGGGGGTTGTGGACAGCTCGGGTGTTGTGTACAGCCCGGGAGGTGTTGTGAACAGCAGGTGGCGCAGAGCGACCGCTGGCGCCACCTGTACCGGGCCGTCGTCCGGAGATCGGCCTGGCGTCAGGCTGCGGCTGGCGCCGCTAGCTGTTGTGCTGCAGGACGATCTGGATGAGCCGCGTCACTCGCAGCCGGCCCAGCTGGTCCAGGCTGTCCCCTGCGAGCCGCGCGCGCCACGTCAAAGCAGGTCGCGACCGGCCGTGCCCCGGGTGTCACACCAAGGTCGCGTTCGGCCGGCAGATAATCTCGGAAAATTATCCGGAATGTTGGAAATTTTCCGGAATGGCGTTCAGCACGGCCGACACAGAAAGTTACCCCAGATAATTTTCTGTAGCGAGGGAGAATCCCAGAGAATTTTCAGAGCGTGGTCAAGACGGAGAATCTGTTTTCGCTATGCATAGCTACGACCGTTGGCTGTGGATGTCGCATGAGAGACAAATCTAGGGGATAATTTTCGGACCGGCAGGGTGTAAATGGAGAATATCCGCGGATGGTCATCGGAGAGATAATTATTCGTTGGATTATGTTCCCTTGGCCGAATGCGCCCCAAACGGCGCGTCGGCTTCGCGTCCCAGCGGGGACGCCACACCCGTCGACAGATGGAAGGAGCGACCGCGGGCACGCGGCTCGAGCGTCCGACAACACACGCCACGTGCCCGCCCACAACTACACAACCACGCTGCCGGTGCGCCAGTCTGCCCGGTTGGACACTGCCGACAGAGGCGCCCCCCACGGCCCGCCACGTGCAGCCGCGCTTACGGGGAATTGAGCTGATGAACTGAGCTGAACTGATGCACTGAGCTGAACTGATCTACTGAATTTAACTGACGAACTAAACTGAACTGAACCGGCAAGCTGATGCACGAAAATGTTGAACTGGTGAACTGATTAACATCCATTCGCGGAATAGAGACGCGTCGCGGTGCCAGCCGGACTACTCACGTTTGCTGGCGCCCAGGCCGTCGACAGCCAGCGCCACCTGGAAGAGCTGGGCCATACGGTCAAGCGCCAGCTGCTGGGCGGCGGTCGGCTGCTCGGCCGCCTGCCCGCCCAGGCCGGCGTCGACCAGCGCGTCGACCAGCCGGCACAGCTGGCCGCGAGTCAGCAGCGCCGGCCGGCCGGCCATCTGAGGCCGCAGCCGCGGCATCTCCTGCAGGAGGGTGGGGTTAGGGTCGGGGGCAGAGGAGCAGGTGAGACATCTGAGGCCGCGGCCGCGGCAGCTCCTGTCCGGAGACAGGGACAGGGTCAGGGGAGCAGGAGAGACAGTTGAGGCCGCAGCCGCGGCATCTCCTGCCAGAGGACAGGGTCAGGGTCCGGGTATCAGGGAGGGGACAGGAAAGACATTTGATCAGGAGGGGCACCTCACGATAAGTGCGAACACGTGTTTCGAATCATCCATGGTATGGGCTTCCCGATTTTCACATTCCACATATGTGCCTACTGCAATGTCACCTGTACACGAACGCGGATAAACCCCCCGCATAAATTCGGAGCACAACACGAAGAGGAAACATCCAAACACGTTGTCACACATTGTGAAGAACAGACACCTGTCGAAGACCGCCACACGGCAACCAACTGTCTCAAAACGCCAAAACAAACACTCCAGACAGACTGGAACAGCCACACAACCGCGTGACGCGCCGCAGCAGGGGCCACGCTGCGCACAAAAAAAGTACATTGGTATCTTGGTATCGACAGAAAGGCCTTCAGATCCCAATTTTTCAGCATTAAAAGTTTAGACTTCTCATTTTCTGACTAGTAATCATAGGCTTAGCTTCAGCCGTCCAGTACTGTCAACATAACCAATGCTCGCACTGCAGCATTTAACCAGTACCTGCTGGTATACTTGAAGTCGATAACTCAGCGTAACGACTCTGAACTCATAACACCCGGACTAGTCCGAAACCACCCACTACACATTCAGCACGAACCGGACACAAAGGCAATACAAAAAAAAAAGAAAACGGCGATGGAAATAAGCAAAAGCCATCGCTCTCCTACAGACTGGGTAAAAGAACATATCGATCGAACAAGCGTAGAAGTCAGAACTAAGACAATGCCACTTGCCGACCAACTGACATCTACATAATAATATGCGGACTTGAAACGCCGCGAGTTTGTAATCGCTTACAACACATCCAGCTTTACATCTGCCACTTCTAAGTCTGTTGTGCAAGAACCAGCCCAATCATCACACATCCTGTCCGTATGTAGGGGCCAGCCCAGACATCACACATCCTGTCCGTGTGTAGGAGCCAGCCCAGACATCCCACATCCTGTCCGTGTGTAAGAGCCAGCCCAGACATCACACATCCTGTCCGTGTGTAGGAGTCAGCCCAGACATCACCCATCCTGCCCGGATGCCAGGATCTGTGATGTCAGGGCAGCGTCAGCGTAGCGCCCCTCCCCTCCCCTCTCCTCTCACCAGCAGGCAGGACATGAGCAGCAGGTGGAGGCGCGCCATGGGCGGCGTCTCGGCGTGCAGCGCCGCCGCCAGCACGGTCCAGGCCCACAGGCCGGCCACGGGGCAGGCGGCGGCCGGCGGCGGCGCCGAGCTCGGCAGCGGCACGGGTCCGGCGCCGGCCAGCGGCACCAGCGGCAGCGTCGGCGCCGCCTCGAGCCAGCGCAGCACCTGCCGGCCACGGACAGAGCGGCCGTCGGCGGCGGGCGGCGCGGGCAGGGCTGTACCCCTGGCAGTGCGGCCTGTCCACAGAAGGCGGTCGGCGAGGCCCGGTGCGCCCATCTGTGCCGCCGCCGCGTACACATCTGTGTCACCGCTCGGGACGGGTAAACCAACAGTCCGTCTGAGGGCCCGCCCGAGTCTGTGTACCTGTCTAAGGAGTACCGCCGGCGGGGGCCACGAGCGCAGGTCCCCGTGCAGACCTCCACACCCCCGTCAGTGTACCTGTCTGAGGAGCGCCGCCGGCGGGGCCGTACCTGTCTGAGGAGCGCCGCCGGCGCGGGCCGTACCTGTCTGAGGAGCGCCGCCGGCGGGGGCAACGAGCACAGGTCCCCGTGCAGACCTCCACACCCACGTCTGTGTACCTGTCTGAGGAGCGCCGCCGGCGGGGGCCGCGAGCGCAGGTCCCGGTGCAGGTGCGTCACGGCCGTCAGCAGGCAGGCGGTCAGCTGCGGCGCCAGCTGCGGCAGCTCGTCCGCCGCCGAGCCGCCGTCGGCCGCCGGCTCCTCCAGCAGGTGGTCCTCCACCAGCGACTCGGTCAGGCGCAGCGCCGCCGCCGACGTGCAGCCCAGCTGCTGCCGGTCGGCACAACGCACAGCTTACGCACACACGCATACGACAGACGCCCGGACGTGTATAAGCAGCACAGTTGACCGGCACCGAATGTAAGGCTGGAGAGAGGTCGTTAATAAATATACTTTCCAAAATTTGACAGTATATTCATAAACGCATACCGCAGACGCATGGGCGTACATAAACGACATAGTTGACTGGCAGTGAATGTGTTTATGTACATATGTATGTATGTATGCATGTACGCTGTCCTCCTCTATCGACTCTTCCAGCCCTCTCACCATGACCCAGGCGCCGAGACAGGTGAGCACGGGCCGACAGCGCGTGGAAACGGCCAGCGAGGCGAGGCGCGTGAGCAGCGTCACCCGGCGGCCGGACGCCGCCTCCTGGCCGCCGCCGGCCGGCTGGAACAGCAGCTGGAACGCCTGGCGTAGACACGAAGGGCGCGCAGGGGTCACGCGGCTGAGGCACGCAGACAGGTGGACGGGGGGAGGGTAACAGACAGGACAGGTTGAGCAGCGGACGAGGGAGGGGGCAGTGGAAGGGCAACGGACAGGACAGGCGGAGCAGCGGACAGGGGGAGGAGGCGGAAGGGGCAACGGACAGGACAGGCGAGGCAGCGGGGACGGGACAGGCGGGGACCAGACACAATAGGAGAAGAACGGAGGGAACGGGCAGGGACAGGACAGAGAAAGATAAACCATGGCAGAGCAGTTAAAGAATGGATGGGGCACATGACGAGCAGACGGAACAGGTGGATGGAACCTGAACCCTGGGGCAAACGCGCCAGGATGGGACCGGGCAGATCAAGCTGGACCGGACAAGGCAGACGGGAACCATCGGACAAGGCAGACGGTAACCATCGGACGAGGAAGAAAGTAACCGTCAGACGAGGTAGACAGGCACCAGCGGGCACGGCAGAGGGTAGCCATCTGACAAGGCAGACGTTCACGATCGGACACGGCAGGCGGTAACCATCGGACAAGGAAGAAGGTAACCATCGGACACGGCAGACGGTAACGATCGGACGGTATCGGTACGGTACGGATCGGACGGAAGGCAGACAGTAACCGGTGTACCAGGCCGGGGCCGGATGGAGCCTTGTAAACCGGACAGGGCGTGCAAAGATCGGACAGAACCATTGAGCCAACACGGCATAACTGACAAAATACGGGATGATAGATTTGAGAGACGAAGAAAATAAAATGACATGCGATACCAG